CGTTCACCGGCGCCGGGCCCGGGAGCAAAGTCCGCCGAGTAGGCGGCGGCCGGCAGCGCAGGTGGGCCAGCGCCTCGGCTAGGCAAGATGCCCCTGGGACTGCGGGGGAAGAAGAAGGCCAAGTCCAAGGAGACTGCCCGGCTGGTGGAGGGCGAGCACGCGGGCGCCGACGGCGGCAGCCTCCCCGCCCCGCCGGCGCCCCAGCGCGGCTGGCCTTCCACGCGCAGCTGGCGCACGGCAGCGCCACAGGCCGAGTGGAGGACTTCTCCAGCGTCCGGGAGCTCTACGCCAAGATCGCCGACGTGTTCGCCATCGCGCCGTCGGAGGTAAGGGGGCAGGTGCTCGGCCTCACCCTGCTTTCCCCGCCTCTCCGACGCGCTGCGCCGCCCTAAACTGGCCCAGGCGGGTTGAGGCGCGCTTCCCCGAGCCCCGAGTCAGGTGGGGTGGAGCCCGCCCCAAGCATCGCGCGGGGGTGATCCCGGAATCGAGAACACCTGCCTCTGGGAAATCGGGGCTGAGGCGCCCGTTCTTCCTCATGCGTGTCAGATGTCCCAGCCTTGGCCGCCCAGGGCGAGAGCGCCTTCCCGGAGTCGGTTCTGGCAGACGCAGGGATACACTGCGCCTCCGCCGGACTTTGCTCTCCCGTTTCTTCCGCGGGCGTGAGGGAGTCTAGCTGGCATCTTCCAGAGTGAAGGGGGGGAAAGAAATCGAAGTGACTTGCAGGTAATACCCAGGTTAAGAGGAGGAAAAAAAAAAATAGAGGAGAGAAAAATGAGAAAAATTGGAATTGCTGAATGACCATGAGGTCACACAGGGTGACTTCTTTTTTTTTCCGGCGCTCATACTGTAAGCAAATGTCTTTTTCATGGTTCATTTAGTGTCTTTTTTTTTTTTTTTTGACTTTGCCCCTTGTTTTTCATTTCCAACATCAACACCAGAAACCCCTTTGGTGTTATTTCCAAGAAGTTAAAAAAGTTCTGTTATTCCAGAGGTGAATGAATACTTAACTATAATACTTTGGACTACTTTACACACTTTTAATAGAGGAGGTCAGCTTTAGCTTCTGATCCATCACATCCTTGAAAGGGACCGAACTTTGAGTCCATTAGATTGCGTGCAAGCCTGAAACCGGAGTTTGCTATCGATGTGATCTTAAAAGCACTAGTTTATGTGGGTGCTTATGTTTTATTTTTGCTTACTCAACTGAACTGCTAATGTAGGTGTAAAAAGCACAAGAAAATATGTTGTCCACACTTAAAGGGAAAGCACATGGTTTTGTTACTCTGGACTCTTGGGAGTATCCAGGGCTGCCTTCGAATGGCATAGGGCGACATCTGGATACCTGTTCTTTAATTAGTTGTTTTTCAGGTCTGTTTAAACCAGATTGAGGTCAAGGCAAAATTCCAAGAAGGGATGAAAGAGAGCTTACCATGTAACCCTTTGTTCTTCGGGGCTCCCAGGCACTAAGAGGCAATTGCAAATCCATTTTGTGAATGATTAATTTTGATATAGGATATTAGTACTAATACTTGGAGTTTGTATGGGATTTTTCGATTCAAAAAGCACTTTCACAGGAATAATTTTCTCTGACCTTCTCTAGGGGAGGGAGGTGGCAAGTTAACTGTGAAAAGCTTGAATGTGGAGCCAGCTTGTACCATTTCCTAGCTGTGTGGAGTGTCAGCTACCTGTACTGTAGACGTAAGGATACCTACCTTACAGGGTATTTTAAAGTTTGAAGTTCATAGGTACACCTATCAGATTGTGTGATATGTGGTCAAAGCTTAATAAACTGTAACTATTATTATTAATACCTAACAGTTAAATGAGGGGCTGAAGTGCAGAGTTATTGCTCCTTGGCTAAAGTCACATAACCTACAAGGAAAAAGCTGGGCTGATTTCTGGAGTAGCGAACTGTTAGTGTACTTAACTGATAACTTGATCTGTCTCCCCTGTAACCAGGGCCTTCAGTGTTAGGTACTTTGTATTAATATAGTAGTTTTTCGGGACCAACAGCGTAATGGCTATGTCAATGGACTCCCATGTAGTTGACCATGGTTTGAGTCCCGACCCAGTGGCTTAAACTCACACTGGGCCCAGGTGCGTGCGAGCCCAAGATCCTGAAAAGAGAAGGGATTTCAGAGTAACCATCCCCTCTGAGGGTTGATTTCTCACTTTCTGTCTCTGTCACTCTCTTTCTGGTGAGCGCACGTGCCCTATGGCAAAAACCTCTGAAAAAAAATTAGTAGTTTTCCTTGTAATTATATATAATCTGAGTTCAAGATACATCATTTTACTTAATCCACTTAATCCCTAATAAGTATGATTATTATTATTTTTAATAAGCCAGAAGATTTGTGTACTCATTAGAGACAGAGATAGAGAGGGAGAAAGCCCTCCCCAGGGGGGTGTGATCACGTGCAGTCCTATCTCCTCCATTTCTCTTTTTTATTTTATTGGGTTGTAGGCAAAGTCATGATTTACTTTTGCATAGAACACATCATGACTTTCTTGACAACCTAATAACTTGTTAGAGGATATGGACACTCTCAGGAGAGAGAGAGGGAAAGTGAGAAAGTCCCTCCCATGTGAGATGGTCATGCTGCAGTTCCTTCTCCATTTCTTCTTTAGGGATTTTGGGCATGCAAGCACGTGCATCTGGCATGTCTCTCAAGCTGCAGATCTGGGACTTGAACTGCTCAGTCAGCCTTGTGGGATCCAGCTGCTTGGCCATCATGCCACTGGCTGGCACCCTTTCTCCATTTTGTTGTGAGTTGGGGCATGCATGTAAGCATGCCTGGAGGGTTTTACAAGTCACCAGGGCAACATTCCAATGATGCAGTCAGCAGTATGGATTCTGGCATCCTTAATTACTAGGCCATAGGACTGGCCCATGTATTATTATTAATAACTATACTTCACCCAGAAGAAATTCAGGCTTTGAGGTTCAGAGTACTTTCAAATTATTCTTTCAAAGTAATTGAAATAATTAATAATAATTAAGCCAAACACTTGAACTTAAACCTGTTATTTCTGACTTTAAATTCCATAAAGCTGTTTGTGTCCCAATTTTCCAAAGTCTCTCAGCAGTAGCTTGCCGGTCATGATGTTCAGTGTTTCTAGTTCCCATGACTTGTAAGATAAAATTTCAAGATAATAAACATAAGGTGTTTTGGTCTGTAACATCACAGTTCAGAAATGAACTTTTTTTTTTTTTTAAACATATTTTTGCCATGGGGCATGTGCACTAGCTAGAGAGAGAAAGAGAGGGAAAGTGAGACCCCTCACCCCCAACTCCAAGGAAGGATGGCCATGCTGTAATTCCCTCTCTTTCATTCTCCTCTCAGGATTTTGGGCACACATGTGTAGGTGCCTGGTGTGTTTTTCAGGCCACCAGGTCTGGGACTCCAACCCAGAGTTGGCTATGTGAGATCCTGTGCTTTAAATACCATACTATCTGCTGTCCCCATAAATACATTTTTATAACTACAATGTATGTTTGTTACCATGTTTATTCATATAACCAACATTTATACAAGTTCTCTACCTGGATTAAAGAGGTTATCCAGGATAAAGTATTGGTCTTCATATTATCGTGTAAATATCTCAGTAGTTGACTTTGAAACAGGTGTAACTTATTAAAATAAAATACATCCCAGAGAGATTCAGTTTTCTGTTCTCTTCCCTTGACAGGGGAGAATCGTGGTATAAATAAATATCAGTGGGGGCAAAACAAAATTTTCCCTCTTAATATTAGTTAACTCTGAAGTCCCGCCTTTTCTCTATGTAGGTGGTTGTGCAGATATAGCTAGCACTACATACAAGCTGTACAGTCTTTACTAAGGAATAAAGGAAATGACTTAAGCCAGGTGGAGCAGATTCAGTCAAACGTAAGGGACCCATAATGTGCCTACAATTATGCTGGGTTTCTAAGTATACAGCGTGTTCTCTCTATCACAAGGGTTCTTTTCATTTTACAGTTGGTCTTAGCGAGGCTCTGATAAGTTAAGCAGGCTGGTGTGTTGAAGAACCAGAATTTGAATTCTGGAACAAGTCTGTTCTCTAGCACCTGGAAACTCTTGGTAACTACATTCATATTTCAAATGCAAACCCGGAAACCTTTTTTTTTTCTTTGCCTTAGGGTGTGTGCACTCCCCAGAGACAGACAGACAGAGGGAAAGTGAGAAATCACCTCCGGGGGGATGGTCTTGCTGCAATCCCTTCTCCTGGGGTTTTGGGCACACAAGCACATGCGCCAGGCTGGATCTTCAAGCTGCTGGATAGAGCCACCGTCGGCCATGTGGGAATCCAGCACCTCAGCCATCATGCCACTTGTTGGCTTGAAACCCTTCTATTTTAAACTATTTATTTATGTTTATCAATTAAAGCCTTAGACTCTACTACAAATACATTTATTGCATTAAAAAATGCTCTTATGAAACGGACAATTGTGGATTCCAACTATTTCATAGTCCCTGACAGAAGAAGCTAAGAAAGCATAGGAATCACTTAAGATTTGTTACTAAATCCCACAAAGTACAGTCTGTTGAGATCATTACATTGAAACAGATGGCTAGTTATGTAAAAATCCCTCATATCTAATATTTTGTATTCCCCCCCAAATCTAAATGAGCAATTCAGTAAAAAAGAAAAAAAAATCTCATCTAAAATAACTGTTAACTCATAGCATAAATGCACAGACACTTTTGAAAAGTTTAATACTATCTTTTTTTTTTTTTAAAGAGAGATTTTTGCTATAGGGCGTGTGCACTTGCCTGAAAGAGAGAAACAGAGAGACAGAGAGATATTACACTCCAAGGGGAGTGGCCACACCACAGTCCCTTCTCCTCCAGTCTCCTCTTGGGATTTTGGGTATGTATGCACATGTACCTGGTATGAGTTTCAAGTTGTCAGGTCCAGGACTTGAGCTGTGGTCAGCCATGTGGGAGTCTAGTCATGTAACCATTTTGCCATCTGCTGGTCCCATAATACTATTTTTTAAAATAGTCACACTACATAAGAGTTTATTATTAAACTTTTAAGCTATAATCATTAGTTTTGTTTAAGGGGCATTTCAGATATTTTACTACTTTAATTGCTTGGCAAGGAATTTGTGCTATGGCATATTTTCTTAATTCTCTATTATGTGGAAAGATTATAGGAAAAGATTATGTGAGTTTTTAAGTAAGTAAATAAGTAAAAAAACTGTGATTGGAAGCTTTATCACACTGGACCAACTGGTGGTGTGGTGTTTAAGGCAGTTGGATCCCATTTGGCTGGCTGCACAGTTCAAGTCCTGGACTCGGCACACAGGCATGTGTGCTGCATG